TACGGAGTTTTAGAAATATTAGTATTATATTAGGATATAGTAGAAATAAAGTAAAAATGATTAAAATGACCTTATTAGTATTGTGTGATATAAATGTAATGGTATTTGTTAATATATTGGAAGTTGTAAGGGTATTTGTAATATTAGATAAATAGTACATTTACTAAAAAAGGAAATGGATACCTTATTATGGGACAGACCAAAATAGAAAAATGAATATTTTGTTATGGGACGAAAAGAGTATTAAATATGAAGAATAATGTCAGTAATTAAAAAAAATAATATTACCTTGAATTATTGACTCTTTGTGAGTAAATAAAATATATAGAGTATATATATTGTGTTAATGTATATATATTATATATTTTTTATAATATTTATATAAAATTATATCATTCAAAAATAGTTTGGTGAACAAAGCCTATATATTTACTTCGAGTGATTTTGTAATGATATTATTATTCACTTTTTTTTTTTTTTTTTATAATATTAGATCAAACACTTATTTTTCATTTATTATATTACACTAAAATTTAATACTCCCTCCTTCCCATAAAGAAATATCCATTTACTTTTTTGCATATAGTTTTAGAAATATTAGTATTATATTGGGATATAGTAGGAATAAAATAGAAATGACTAAAATAACCTTATTAGTATTTGTGATACAAAGGTAATGACATTTGTGTAATATATTGTAAGTTGTAAGGGTATTTGTAATGTTAGGTAGATAGTACAGTTATTAATAAAGGAAATTGATATTTTGTTATGATACGGACTAAAATGGAAAAATGGATACTTTGTTATGGGACGGAGGAAGTATTACATTCAAAACATCACGTTAATACATATTTAAATCATATCAAAAAACTATTTTGAATTTAAATTTTACTATTTAAAATTAAAACTCAAAATCAAAATATCACAACTAAACACACCTAAAATTATTAATAATATTATTATAGACACTAAAAATATGTATAAAATCAATTAAATATCATGTATTTTGAAAGAAAATAAAATTTTAATAAAATAAATATATGGTATTTAATTATGCACATATGTTAATTTTTGTACAATAAATATCAATCATTAATACAAAAATCTGCTTAAAATAGAAGATATCGTACAAATATTACGTGCATAAATAGAGTCATAATAAATTTGGCAGCAAAATAAATTAATCTTGTCAATAAATGAAGTATATAAATTAATATCTTCCGAAAAAAGGCAATGATATAAAGATCTTGGTGAGAAAGGAAGGTGCAGAATCAAATCAAGTCAAAAATTAAAAAGAGCATCTGATGGAAAATGAAAGATTATAAAATTTTTCTATTGGCCAATCAAAACGCGCCACGTGGCACCATTAAAAAAGGAAGCCGAAGCCACCCATCCCATATAAATAAGAGCCATGGCCAGTCCATTTGACACACCGAAGTTGCATCGAGGATTCAAGCAAAGGGGTAAGTCTCTACACTCTCTCTGTATTGTTCTTCATGTTCTTCGTGTCCTTCGAAGCGTTCTTCGTCGAAAGTCACTAATTTGGACAAATGATCTAATATTGGTTGACGAATCGATGAAGTTAACGTTCTTCGTCGTATGTCCAAGCCGGATGAAGGATCAAAGCTCTCAAAGCCGTCGAGGAATTCGTCAAGGGATGGTCTTCAAAGTTTCTCTCAAATCTTCGAGGTGTTTATCGCGTTCTTCAACAAAGCATCAACTAGGCCCTCTTCGATCCAAAAGTCAAAGGGACACGCCGCCAAAAGCGTTATGGAGCACAAAATCCACCTCTTCAAAGATCAAAGCTCTCAAAGCCGTTGAGGAATTCGTCAAAGCCAAGGGAAGGTCTCCAAAGTTCCTCTCAAAGCTTCAAGATGTTCATCGCGTTCTTTAACAAATTATCAACTAGGCCCTCTTCGATCCAAAAGTCAAAGGGACACGCCGCCAAAAGTGTTATAGAGCACCAAATCCACCTCTTCAAGGATCAAAGCTCCAAAAGCTATTGAAGAGTCCATCAAAGCCAAAGAAGAGCATCCAAAATTCATCCAAAAGTTTCGAGGTGTTCATCGCGTTACTCACCAAAGCAACAACTCAGCCCTCTTCGATCTAAAAGTCAAAGGGACACGCCGCCAAAAGCGTTATGAAGCACCAAATCCACCTCCTCAAAGATCAAAGCTGCAGATCGTCCAAAGAAGTCACAAAATCCAAAGCCAATGATCAAACCGCCCACACGGAGACCAAAGCCCTCCGAACGGCGGCAAAGCTAAACCAAATATCAAAGTTGCGGATCGTCTAAAGACGACATCAAATCCAAAGCCAACGATCAAATCGCCAACATGGAGACCAAAGCCCTCCAAAAGGCGACAAAACCAAACCAAATATCAAAGTCTCGGATCGTCTAAAGAAGACATCAAATCCAAAACCGATGATCAAATCGCCCACACGGAGACCAAAGTCCTCCAAAAGCAGCAAAGCTAAACCAAAGATCAAAGCCGCGGATCGCCCAAAGAAGACATCAAATCCAAAGCCAATGTTCAAACCGCTCACACAGAGACCAAAGCTCTCCAAAAGGCAACAAAACCAAACCAAATATCAAAGCTGCGGATCGTCCAAAGAAGACATCAAATCCAAAGCCGATGATCAAATCGCCCACACAGAGACCGAAGCTCTCCAAAAGGCGAAAAGGCAGACCAAAAATCAAAGTTGCGGATCGTCTAAAGAAGACAACAAATCCAAAGACGATGATCAAATCGCCTAACGGAGACCAAAGTCCTCCAAAAGCGCCAAAGCCAAAGCAAATATCAAAGTCTCGGATCGTCTAAAGAAGACATCAAATCCAGATCTGAAGATCAAATTGCCAACACGGAGATCAAAGCCCTCCAAAAGGCGGCAAAACCAAATCAAAGATCAAAGCCTCGGATCGTCCAAAGAGGACATCAAATCCAAACCCGACGATCAAATCGTCTGCACGGAGACCAAAGCTCTTCAAAGTTCGGCAAAATCAAACCAAAGACCAAATCTCTTCGGATCAAAGAAACCATAGAAAACCAAGTTGGAAAACAAATCGACCCGGAAGGAGAATCAAATGACCCATTTAGAGAATATGACCCACTTTGAACAAATCAAATATAATTTGTATAAATTTTGTGTTTATTAAAAATAATACAATTTTTTGTTCACAAATATATATGTAAATATATTAGAGAGTCATGTGAGCCCCTTTTAAGAATAGGCCCTGGCCAGGCTTGTGGTGGAGACGTGATCGCGAAAACTACTATAAAAAATATCAAGTAAGATTCGATGTGAAGTCCCATAGGAGATGAGATGGTGGGTATGAAATAAACTCATGATTGTTTTCATGGGTTTAAATTTTCGACTCCAACAGACTATTAGATTCAACTGAAAATTTACCGATCGATGAAAGAACTAATGGAACTAGTTAATTTCTAGTTCACTTACTATATATATATATATATAGTTTTTTAATTGTGTGAGCTTTTATTTAATTATTTCTTAAAATAAAACTTTCTATTTTATGCGATTTTTTAAGCATTTTGTTGTTTGTACATTATCTTAAATAATTTTCACTATCTAATTTATTTGATGTTAAGCGTGATGTTGATGAACGAATAGAAATGGCCAAACAAAAAAATATTTTTCGATTAAAGATCAAAAGTTTTTTCTTTCACTATATAATGTTGATGGACAAATTGAGATAGCCACAAAAACATCATACATTATAGGAAAGTTATGAGTTTCATTCGTTGGATTGCTTTAGATGAATCGTATGGATTTTGTTTAATTTCGAGCATGAACATAAAGCGACATAAATATATAAAAAAATGATAGATTTATGACAATAGAATTGTGGAAGGATGAGGAAAAATGGTTATTATTGTCATCTTCTTCCTCTTCCCCATCCTCAGTAGAGTTTGCAAAATTATTGTGAGCATCTGTCTAAAGTCTTTAAGATTGCTATGTATTGTTGGAGTTCTTGGACCCACCTCAAGATAACATAAAAAATATTGTACATCGTATAGCAAAATTAAAAGTTTGAACCCATGATAATATAATTATAAAAATAGTAATTTTTCTGTAGCAATTACCAAATTCATATTTATTTGCATCAAAAGACTTAAAACTATTTTATTAAAGAACGCCTAAGTTTGAACCCATGACTCAGTGGTAAATATACTTGCGAGCACGGATGAACTCCAATATTTTGATTTTTTAGTAAAAGAAATATGTGTGGTTTTATCTTCACCTGTTATTTATGTTGTATTATAAAAATCAAAGAATATTGTGTTGAACCGATAGTAGTAAATTGACATTCAGCCTCCCCTCCAAAATTTAGGGGTTGATTCCGCCACTGCCATGATATTAGATAATGAATTCGTCACAACACCAACATGACTATATACTCTCCGTTTCAAAATAATAGTTTCATTTTGCCATTTTTGTCTGTCTCAAAACAATAGCTCTATTTCTATTTTTGGTAACAAGCTCCCCACTTTTTTACAAAATTATTCTCATTTTTTTCACAATAATTACATAAAGTAGGAACATTTTGATCTTTTAAAACAATTTTACACTCTATATCAATATAATACTATTATTTTTTAATTCACGTGCCAATCACAAATATTTCTATTGCTTTGGGACGGAGGGAGGATTATAAATATAATTCCATTTTTATATACGAGGAGTGCTCAATGGAGTGAGTTGCAATAAATTCACTACAAAAAAAATAATATATTTGTAACAAAATTTCGTCCCTAAAGTTCACGTAGCTAACGTAATTTCATTTCTAATTCCGTCTCTAATGTCATTAGTAACGGAAAAAAGTAGATTTAGAGACAAAAATATTTTATTACAAAAATGATTTTTTCTTGAAGTGAAAAAAGAAAAAGCATGTCCACAACTTCAGTACCATTTTGGTTAATCGAACTAAATTTAGAAGATACCACGGTGGGCATACATACTTCTATTTAAATAAAAAGATAAACCTAGAACTAATCAAAGCAAAGATATTACAGACATTACTTTGAACCAGCCAAATCTAGTAAAAAGTAAAAACAAAAATAAAAACAAATGAAAAGAAAAGAAAGCATCCACACTCGTATTCTTTCATTGTCCATTGCTTTCTCCTCATCCCCAACTTAAATTAATTGTCTCACTCTCAACAATATCAGCAGCAGCAGCAGCAGCCTAGCTATATGGCACTAGTAGCCTTGCTACTCTTGCTCTCTGCCGCCGTCGAAACTCCCTCGGTCTCGGCCACATGGTGCGTCGTGAGGAGCGAGGCGAGCGACCAGCGCCTGCAAGCTGCTCTAGACTACGCATGCAGCGCCGGAGCCGATTGCGCCCCCCTCCGATCCACCGGACTTTGCCACTTGCCCAACACCGTACAGGCCCACGCCTCCTATGCCTTCAACAGCTATTATCAGCGCAAGGCTCGCGCCCCCGGAACCTGCTTCTTCGGCGGCACGGCCACCATTGCCACAACTGACCCAAGTTTGTGCATCCTTTCATATCTTTAATTCCGACAAGTTTTGGATTTTTTTAATTCTAATTTACTGTGTTTTTGTTAGAGTGTTGATTGAGGATTTATCGGTACTATGCTGCTGATTGATTGTAATAATCAGTGCATGAAAATACTATAAGTAATACTACATTCGTCTCTCTCTAAGGGTCTCATTTACTTTTTACGTGTTGATATTTGAACATTAATTATTATACCAAAACGTAGTACAAATTAAGAAAAAAAATTACAAAAATACTTTCATTAATATCTTATAATACTAATAGAATGACATTTGTACAAAAAATTATACAAACATAAGGATATTTTTAATGTTAAGTATAATGACGCAAAAAACAAATATGACCCTTAGAGGCGGACGGAGGGAATATATGAAAATATATTAGACAATATATATTAATATTTATAATTTTTTATTTTTATTTTTTGCCAGGCTATGGATCTTGTGTGTATCCATCTTCTCCAAGGTACGTTTGCTTTGTTGTTTGGAGTTTGATTAATGTGTGGTTTGTGATTAGTGGGTTATGGGTAATTAAAGCAGCCTTTCTTCTTTGCTTTAATTTTCTTTTTCTTTATTTTATGCTTTTTATGCGACTTTCCTTTCCTATTTGCTCTATTGTTGAATGAAAGTTCATTACTTTGTGATAAAGTCCAATTATACATATATAGATAGATTGATTGTTATTATTTTGCTTTTCTTTGATGGAAGAAGCTGGAGTCTTCAAGAACCTACTCATCATTTCATTTCTTGTTTATTCTTTATTATTATTAGTGAAATAATCTTTCAGTTTCGTGTTCGAGTCTTTTGAACTTATCTGCAAAATAAATATTGATTTAATATAAATAAATATTATATGTAATGTTTTAGATGAATAAACTAATTTAAATAAAAGATAATATTTTTTTAAAAAAATATAAAATTTTATGAATAGTATGAAAATCAAGTTAAAAGACACAAGTAATTTTTTAGGACTGCGGGCTTGACTAGTGTTGAATCAGGCGGCTCGAGCGCGCTACCAAGTACATCTACAGAGCCGCCTGCTGCTGATCATAAGCCTTTGTATGGAGGTGGAAATGAAGGTGGGATATTAAACCCGGGCATGGGATCCGGCGCGCCAAATGCTTCAGATGAATCGAAGTGTGCAATCTTGAACACATGCTTGCTCCTCGTAGCGTTCATATGCCCCGTTGTCGTTGCCAATGTCATGTAATATAGGTAGAGTTCGACGTGAGGAGATTTAGCGTCGAAACAGTGTTTAAAGTTTTGAATGTGGTGTGGTGTGGCTCTGTTTTTGTTTTTGTATTTGGCTTTGAAGAAGCACGTAATACAACAACGGCCGATTAAATGAATTGGGCGCATCACGCATGCATTCCATACTCTTCGGGTGTGTTTACTTTGCATAATTAGAGTGGATAATATTATTTTATACAACCTAATCGTGTGTTTATTATGTATTATTATAATTCGGGATTAAGTAAAGTTTGAAATAATAATGTTGTAATAAAGGATTATTAATTCTTTTCCTATATGTAGTATTAAATAATACTAAGTATAATAAATGTAAAAAGACCATTTTATATATCATTAATTCCTAACTTAAAATTAACTTTGTCATTTATTTAAAGTTATTTTAGGCAAAATTAGTAATCTTATACAATAATTCATTATAGCAAATATTAAATTATTTTATCATATGATTATATAATCTATTAAAACAATACACGGTAATCCTATCGTACCAAGTAAATACACCCTTCAAATATTGATTTAATACTCTGTCTATATACATATTTTTTAGAAAAACAAATTTAATACTATTTACTCTCTTTCTTAGAAAAATTCATGTCACTTTATTTATTTATTTATTTATTTATAATAATTATATGCTTCCAGCATCACATAAAGTTCAATAAAATTAGTATATAGAATAGTCTACTCTAGAACTTCAAATAAATTTAAGAGTGCATACACAAAAGCTTTATAGTTAAGGGCAAGAATATTTTGCAGTCCTATTGCATATTACATTGATCGAGTTTGATTTTATTATTATTATTATTATTATTTATTTTATCAATTTTAATTTTATGTAAAATAAAATTAATTAATTTTGCTCTTACTGTTAATTTTTCAACAAATTTTTTTGAAGTGGGAATATATATAGACCGAATAGAACAATACTGGAAAAAACATATCTGTGTTAGCTGACTTTACAATTAAGCAAATTTTACAGATAGTCAATACAACCATATTGAATACAATACGGTCGTGTTCAAATATGACGACAACATGTTCAAGTATGACCATGTTATGTACGATGTTATAAGTTGTATTCAAATGTGATTATAAACTGTAAACTGTTATAAAACCTTATTTACACATGGTCATATTCTGTGCGTTGTTATATACTCTTTTGAATATGATCATATTCTATATTTTATAATTAAATATGTGCACAATTCCTAATAAAATACTCCATTCGTCTGGTTCTAAGAGTCCTATTTAACTTTTGCGTCATTGTATTTAATATTAAAAATATCTTTTTATTTGTATAATATTTTACACAAATGTCATTATAATAGTACTATAAGACATTAATAGAAGTGTTTTTGTCATTTTCCCTTAATTTGTACTTTTTTCATATAATAATTAATATTCACAGATCAACACGCAAAAAGTAAATGAGACTCTTAGAGCCGGACGGAGGTAGTATCAAATTACGCATTTTAAATAATATTTTTTTACTTATTTTATAAACAATATATATTTATAGTAACATATAAATATTAATTTTAATGATTTATATATACGTTATATATATATATTAATTTAATTAAAATTTGTTGTATAAATATATATATGATAAAATATTAAATAAATTAATCATTTTGAATAATTATTTTTTACTTATTTTATTTACAATAAATATCTATAATCACATAAACATTTAACTTTAATAATTTTTTAAATAAAAACATATATAGATATTAATTTAATTAATATTTATTATATGATAACATTCAACAATATATAATAATATTATATATTAATTCAACTGATATTTATTATCTAAACTTCAAAAATACTATAAAAAATCATTAAAGTTAATATTTTTATTAGATTATAGATATTTATCGTCATAGATTAAGTAAGAATATTATTTAAAATAGCTAATTTGATATTTTTATTGTGCATTGTAAGGCTGTCTTTAATTAGAAAATTTGAAACATGATCATATTTAAATCGGATTTATAACATCATATATAATATGATCATATTTGAACAAAACCGATTTGTGTTCTTTTGTGGTTACCACATGTTTTTACTATTAAATTTTATTTTTTCTTATAAAAATATCAAATACAACAGTTATTTTTCTTTTTTTTTATATCATACTATAAAATTATTTTACATTTAAAACATCACATCAATAACTATTTATATCACGTCACACAACTATTCAAATTTAATTTTTTACTATTCATAAATTCAAACCCAAAAACTCAAAGTCACGTACAAACACACCCTAGAAACTCACACAGCATAATCATGTTTGAGCATGAGTTATAACAATATTAAATAACATGACCATGTCTAATACGCTCATCCAATACGGCCACGGCTATATTCAATTTATGTCAATTGTTATGTCACCAATTTTCGTTGGAAAATTAATAGTAAGCCTAAAATTTAACCAAAATTAATTAATATAATAAAATACATATTATTAATATTATTAAAACTTTTTTAATTATATTTTCTTAATACAAAATTAATTAAATGCATATTCTATTTTTTTTAATTATATACTAATTAAATTTATTTTAAAACTATTAATATTATTAATTATATAAAAATAATAAAATAATATCATAAGTTACTATTATTGACTAATTTAACATAATTTTCTTAAATACCGTATTCCTAATAAAAGCGTTCAATATAATTATATTAGAAAGAAGGGAATAGTATTTTTTTTCTTCAATCCAACATTATTGTTATGAGAAAACGAGAAAGAAAGCAAATAAAGAACACAGAGGTTTTACGTGGTTCGGTGACGGTGTGTCAACCTACGTCCACGGGCAGGAACCGGAGAGATTTTTATTATACTGATTCAGAGATTTACAATGTGTCATCCGACTAAGAACCATAGTTGTCTATTTATAAGCACCCCAAAACACTCTAAACCCTAAGCCCATTTGTTATTAATTAGGATAAGCCCAAAAGGAACCCTGCCAATTGAAACAACCCTTTCGCTTTGGTTTAGGGTCGGGTAGACCGCTAAATCCAAGTCACGTTTCAACAATCTCCACCTTGACTTGGAGTTTCTCCAACCGCCAAAGGTTCGTCAGTATCTCTCAGTCGTCTCATTCCTGCCAAATGCCCCGAGAAGGCTTTACCTCCTACAAATATTCACCAAGTTCAAGCAATGCTCAAACTTCTCCGTCGGTAGTGCCTTTGTCAACATATCAGCTGGATTGTGTTCTGTAGCTATTTTCTGAATAGAAAACTTGTCTTCCTCCAGAACATCACGGATAAAATTCAACCTTACATCAATATGTTTGGTTCTCTCATGATACACTGGATTTTTAGCCAAACTCAAAGCACTTTGACTATCACAGAATAACACCGGTTTCTCCACCTTCAGACCCAAACTCTGCACCAGACCATGTAACCAGATACCCTCCTTAATACCTTCAGTCATTGACATGTATTCCGCCTCAGTCGTCGACAATGCAACCGTAGGTTGTAAAGTAGACTTCCAACTGACTGCATATCCAAACAGAGTGAAGATAAAACAAGTTAGTGATCTTCGTTTCACCAAGTCACCCCCGTAATCAGAGTCTGCATAGCCAACAAGACCATCACCATGGCCTTTATCATCATATACCAGACAAATATCAGACGCTCCTTTCAAATATCGCAAGATCCACTTTACAGCTCCCCAGTGACCTTTACCCGGATTAGCCATAAACCTGCTCACCACACTAACCGCATAAGCGAGATCCGGTCTCGTACATACCATCGCATACATAAGACTTCCAACTGCACTTGAATATGGAACCGTCTTCATGTAACTAACCTCTTCATCTGTAGCCGGTATAGTGCTTCGATCAAGTTTAAAGTGTGCCGCCAAAGGGGTACTTACCGGTTTGGACTGATCAACAGAGAATGCCTGCAAAACTTTCTCAATATACTTTTCTTGAGAAACCCACAACCGTCTTGCTTCTCTATCACGCCAGATCTCCATACCAAGTATTTTCTTTGCCGCACCCAAATCCTTCTTGTCAAACTCACCCTTTAGTAGAGCCTTCAAGTCATTAATTACAGTCATGTTCTTAGCTGCAATTAACATATCATCCACATACAACAGCAGATACACAAAGGAATCAGTAGAAACTTTCTTCGAGTAAACACAGTTATTAAACTGATTACGAGTATAACCATTAGACACCATGAATGAGTCAAATCTCTTGTACCATTGCCTCGGAGATTGCTTCAAGCCATACAGAGATTTCTTTAACAAGCATACCTGGTCCCCTTTAGAACTGTAGAACCCCTCCGGTTGAGACATGTAAATTTGTTCTTCTAGATTACCATGAAGGAATGTTGTTTTTACATCAAGCTGCTCCAGCTCCAGATAAAAAGCATCCACCATTGCCAAAAGAACCCGAATGGTTTTGTGTTTCACCACAGGAGAAAAGACTTCATGGTAATCGATTCCTTCCTTCTGTGAAAACCCTTTTGCCACCAGTCTCGCCTTGAACCTAGCAGGTTCAACACCAGGAATTCCCTCCTTTCTTTTAAAGACCCACTTGCATCCCACTGGCTTCACCCCTTTTGGTAGTGCAACAAGATCCCAAGTCTTGTTCTTTTCAAGAGACTGCATCTCTTCATTCATTGCCATAATCTAGGTTTCTGCATCTTTACTCGCCACAGCTTCTTTATATGTCTTTGGCTCATCAGAGCCAAGATCATCACCAACCGCTAGTGCATAAGCAACAGAATCCATGTCACACGTATTGACACATCCTGCAAACCTAGTTGGTTTCTGAATATTTCTCTTTCCCTTTCTTACTGCTATGGAATCTTCAACCCCAGTACCAGCGTCATCAGTTTCCCCCTCAACCGGTTTCCCTTGAGGTTTTGACTGATCTGGTTGATCGGATTGATCAATATTATTATCCTGCTGCTTTTCCTCTAACACAACTCTGTCAGGAGTCTCAAACTCCACCCTCTGGTTAGCATCACAATTTTTTGTACCTGCAATACTTTCACAACCTCTACTCTGATCAAGCATAGCAGATTCATCAAAGGTTACATCTCTGCTAATAAGAAATTTACCAGGATTTTTACCTTTTGTACACCACAGTCGATAACCTTTTACTCCTGTTGCATACCCTAGA